CACAACACTGGTGAGCAGCTAAGTCGCCTACGCTACGCGGATAACATATTTCTTATTTGAGCAGCAAACACGAGATAAACGAGATGCTACACAAAACGGGCCTGAAAATTAAAGCATCGAAAAAGGTGATGCAAAGTGCGGCTGTGTTCGCGGTAAGAATGCAAACAGATGGTGCTGACTTGAAAAAAGTTGATAGCTACATCTCGGCAAAAAAAAAAATAAATTATATCACAAATGTGTAGTAGGAGATAGATGCTAAAGGGCTGCCAGCTGGCGCAATTTTACTCGCTGATGTCCTCAAGATGCTGAACTGAAAGGGCTGCGCCCATCTTTTTAATAGGGCCGTGCTGAAGGTAGTTATATATAAATGCGAAACGTGGTCAATGATGAAAGTAGACCAGCAACATAACAGGCGGAACAAACAGTTGGATGGTACCTAAGATGCATTAAAAGAATAGTAAAAAATCCACCGAAACGATGAGCCAACTCATTGTGCGAAAAGCACAAGACCATAAGCAACAAAAAAGATGATAGCTGTATAGACGAAGACATACTATGAACGACGTTTCACGCATTTGTTCACAGGTTTCATAGACAGGCAATGAAATAATACCCATGTAAGGATAAAACAGCACTGATGAACACTGTGGTAACGGTAAGAAATGTATACGACTTAATGGACCGAAACATTTCTTATCTATAACAAATATTTTTTTATATACCCCTTACCTATCTTAATATCCTCTTCTTCTTCTTACTTGTTTCCTTTGTCTCCTAATATTTCCTTTTCTAATCTTTAATTCAAATGCGCAACAGAATTATTTGCTAAATGAAGTAATAAGCCATCGTGATTTTTTTTTTGTTTATTATGCTCAGACTAGGGAACTTCCTCTCGTTCAACGTCACAGTCCCGCTGCTTTTGATCAACGTCTTTAATTAATGATACTGGCAATTACTTTGTTAAAAAGTAAGCATGGCCAGATTAATGGTATCATCAAATTAAACTTTCTCCACTTCAAAATTGGGAACCCAACTGAGAAGCTTCCAGATGCATAAAAAGCACTGTAATAGAATGGATCAGCCTCTACCTCTTCATTCTCCAGCACATCGAAGCTCACGAAACTTGCACCAACTTCACGCAACACATTGACCATTTGGTTACTAAATCCTGGAATAAATGCAGTAACGTGGACTGAAACGCTTTAAGGCACTGTTGTTACGGTCTTTGCCAATACGTTTATGTTTTTTTTAAACAATTTTCATGTACTTTGCCATCATACGTTTTTGCACATTTATGCAAGTGTGAAAACGTATATTTGCAATGACCCATG